CACAAGGCTCAAAGGTCCACTTTTTGGTCCACTTTTTATGTAAAGGTCCACTTTTTGGTCCACTTTTTATGTAAAGGTCCACTTTTTGGTCCACTTTTTATGTAAAGGTCCAAGATTTTCCTTGAAAAGATAGACTGGAATCGTAGAAAAACTGCTTCCTGTGTCATTGAATAAAAAGTTATCTCCGATTTTTTCTTTGAAATCCTCTCAAAAACGCACGAAATGCCATTTTAGAAGGTTCATTTTTCAAAATTTTCCGGGGCCCTAGGAACCTCGCGCCTTCGGCGCTCGCCTCGCGCCTACGGCGCTCGAGGTCCCCTCAAGCAGTGGGAAGAACCCCCCCATTCAAAATCCTGGCTACGGGCATGGCCTTATTCTTACTCTCCGAGCAGAGGTTGGTGGGGAAGCTTGTAACCTTTTCATCATATTCCCCCTTTTCCCCCTTTTTCCTTTGCTACAGTTGGTGTGGGTATCGACAGGGAAAAAAAGAAAAAAGAAACGGGATATATGATAAAAAGATCACAATCGTCCCCACCAACCTCTGTGAATATAAAGTACTCTCTATACTTATTCTCACCTTCTTACCCGGCCGCATATAGACCCGCTGGTCTGTCAGTTATCAGCCCCAAGACCTATTCTGTGTGAAGAACTAAAGTTTCTCTTCCTCCAAGTCCCTCTGCTCTCTCTGCGACCTCTCTGATCTGATCTTCCCACCTCTTTCTTGATCTACCAGTTATTCTTTTCTACAACGTTCCACCTAATTGGAACCATACAAATATGACCTAGAATTAAGTTGGTAAAGGTTAGAGGGAGGTTAGAATAGGACTTGCCTAGAGCGCTGTGTTGTTAGCCAGCCGAGAGACGATATTCCCATTTGTCATGTTTGATTGTTGCCCCAAGGACATGATCCTTGGTTGCACACGGATGGCAGGACCTTGACCAGCAACAAACGGGAGACTTTTTTACCCACACGCGTGCGGGTGGGCGAAGACCTTAGCACGAATGAGAATAAAGGCATTCATATCTTTAAATACAATAACTCCCACAATGCAAAAATAGGTAAATATGTAAAACACTGCTTTGTCATTAGAAAAAAACCCATGGTTAACCCTACTCGTTTGTAACTCTATATCAAAGACTTATAGCTAGCTCTTATTGTTTTAATAATTTGTTCAAGACAATAGTTTTGTCATATATTGTACCATGTACAACTGTCGTGCAATTAAATTTTTACGTACCACTGCAGGTAAAATAGTGTTTGCAAAACTTTCATCTTGATTCAAAACACCCCACCAACCTGTGAAGTAGGTAAAGAGGAAAAAATGATGTTAAATCGACTCACTGGACCGTTTTGTTTTGTTCCGTCCAGTGTGGGATTAAGACAAGGAGAAAGTGAGAACCCGCTCTTCAGCGTCACAATAACGGAACTGCTGAAGCTTGCGGTAGAAATGTCGGTACTTAAACATACAAAAACATTTTTTTTCTCTCTTTTGTGGATCGTCGCGATCTGTAGGGTACTTTGTTCACTAGAACGTCCACACCTGAAGAGGTACTATAACAACACACTGCAGCGCGTTAGTTGAGGATGAGGTTCTGGTGGTTACAGGTTGAAGTCATCTGTGACAACTACACTGGTCCGAAACTACCGGGCATTTGTGATAAATAATTAGAACATTGAACCATCTACAAGGGGTCGTGTGGCGCAGCGGTAGCGCGTTCGGCTCGGGAACTAGAGGTCCAGGGTTCGATCCCCACCCATGTCACCGATCTTGTGCCCTTGGGAAAGGCACTTTACACGAATTTCCTCACTTCACTCAGGTGTAAATGAGTACCTTCGGTTAGGGACGTCCCTCGGATAGGACGTAAACTGGAGGTCCCGTGTTTGAGGAGAGCCACACCTCGAGCACGTTAAAGATCCCACCACACCTTTCGAAAAAGAGTAGGGGCATGCCCCGGTGTGCGATGGTCCAAATTCTACAACCCAAATACCACAGTGTAGCAGAATCATCAGCAAGTTGATGTTGGCTACCTTAACCTCCAAGACCAAGACAAGTTTTGACAAGTTTTGACTTTATGTCTAAAGCACAATTGGTTTTAAAAGGGTCGTGTGGCGTAACGGCGGAATGCTCGTCCCAGAACCAAGAGGTCCCTAGTTCGAATCCTGCCATGCCACCGATCTTATGCCCTTGGGAAAGGCACTTTACACAACTCTCCTACTTCACTCACTCAGGTGAAAAGGAGAATTGTCCTCTGCGTTGGTGGCGACATGAAAATATATATAAAGTTGACTACTTGAGTCTGCCGTCACCATGTATTGTCTTTAAATGTTGTAATAAAAACGTAAAAGTAAGATCAGGCTGCTGGACTGTGGACTACAGGTGGATTCAGTCTGTTTCTTTCTTAACATTTGATTGGCGGTTGTTAAACGTTCCGCAACGTCATGGAGGTCACTAACCAGTATCAATCAAAAGAGATTTTAAACAGGTTTACAAGGACTATGTACACAACCATGTAAGCCACATTGTCACTGATTGGTTGACCTAGCTTTAAATAAAACCGCGCTGTAGAGCAGTTCAAGTGACCTACAGAACAGCAGGATACCCGAAGGGGCAATGATAAAGTTTAATATTAACGTTTGCCAGACAAGAGATGAATTGATATTTCTAAATTAATGGTGGTTTCATCGGCCAAGCTTAGGCGAGGTCCCCCTATGTCACCAGGTAAAAGCTAAATAGTTATTAATATGCTTACACAGACGCTATTGAATTAGAAACCGAGCTACGCTAAGCCGAAGCACGTTTCCGTCTCGTGAACGGACGTTGCCATTTTAAATGGTCGATGACATTTCGCTGAATGTTCGCTGCATGTCCGAGCGTATCATAACTTTTTTTCGGATAAAAAAAAGCAACATTTAAATTGTAAATGTGCGACAGCATGATAAAAATAGTAAATATATAAGCGAAAAGACAGAGCACAAGATTCGAACCCGGGTCTAAAAAGCCTAATCCTTAACCCCAAATCCTCCACAGGATGGCGTTGACGGAACGTTCTGATCCACTTACGACCGTATAGAAGACGAAAATTAGCTTAGCCAAATGGAGATAAAATGGAGATAATTGTTTTTGGTGTGTCTGTGTGCGTTGTACACAAAGAAAACCCCCCAAAATACACAACTCTCTACAGCAACGTAGGAACATGATAGGATAACCATTTTCGAAGTTGAACTTTGTTTCTATAACGTCTGCTCACCTATCAAATATCATTAGGATCCCTTCACAATTTTTTTAGTTATCCTGCATACATGCAATTGATAAATGTACAAACATTCCGCTAAAATACGACTTAAAAAAGCCAGATGCGCCATTTTTCAACTTGAACTACATTTTAGAACAGCTACCCACATGCCAAAAATAAAAAAAATCTATCCACAAATAATCGAGTTATGGCGTTGACCTTAATACGGGGACACGTCACAGTTGCTCCACCAAAATCTACCGATTCCATATTTTTCTGACGAAAGCAAAGATATACTAAAGGCCATGTGGGGCGCTGATAGCCTGACTGAACCTCGCTTTTCGCCGGCTCCCTACTTAGTCCGCCACCTTGGGTCCGCCACCATCATTTTCCTAATGTCTCCAACTATACCAACTATACCAGTCTCTTTGCAAAGTTCAGGCATAAGTCACGTCGACGGGCATCTAGTGTAGGCAGGTCTAAGATGCTGCACGCCTCCCTGTAGGATGTGTAGGCCGGTCCAAGAACTATGCGGCAGGCCCTTCTCTTGAGGGTTTCGATCCTGGCACGTTGTGCCGTTCTAAGTCCGGCATACCACGCAGGAGCGGCGTACTCACATGCAGGGCGCACAAGGGTCTTGTAGCTCGTCAGTAAGTCTTCTCGGGAGAGGTCGAAACACCGTAGTCCTTGAGTAAGAACAGTTGTGTTTGATATGATAAACTTATCATAAGCTGTAGACTCGGAAAGACAATATTGGCGATTGTCCGGACGCCTGAAGTTAGGAGACGATAACAAGCGCAAGGATGGGGCATAGATGGCAATGGAACAAAATGCTTCTGTATCTGTGTAGCCGGTATAACCACCCCTCGACGTAACACACCAGCTGCAAAGACAATAGAGAAAATGAAATTATGTTGCACAGAAGAGAAACTGTCGCCCCGAAAATGATACCATGTAAATGTAACGTTACATGGTTTCTAGTTCAGAGAAAATATCATTTACATCCCATGTGTCCCATGTTTGTCCTACTTTTTGAGCGTTTGTCCATTCTTGGAGAACAACTGACAACTCTATTTGGGTTAAGTTTCCCTTCTCAAAACCGCGCCTTGTATCTTATGTTCACGTCACATGTACACGTCTTGCTTCTACATCTATTGTCAGTCTTTGACTGTGATCAGCCTCCGTCAGGCCTTACAGGGGCACGGATGGTAGGATTCGGTAAAAAGGGAAGAATAATTGGCCAGGAGAGTCAGCCCACGGGAAGGGTAATTTCCCGCTAACGGCGCGGGTAAGTGAACTCTAAGCCGGTGGCCAAACTTCCATGGCCAATTATTCTCCATACAGTATTTGGCTACATATTACTGCTTTTGAACCGCGTTGTTAGTCTGATATCTGATGACAGAGACTAGACTGTGATGTCTGATACATTATTTCTTTCATATGATCCACCAGAGACTGATGTACTGCGTCCAAGTGTTCTTCGCCATCGTGGTTGGTGGGATCATCATAAGTAAGTACACGATAGATCTTCTTTATCGTTTGTCGGACATATTCAAAGAGAGAAATGAAATGAAGTGTTAAAGGCATCCAACGTGATTTCAGAGCAGCAAAACTGGATTTTCAAACTCAATTTTTCATTTTTTTTTTGTCATTCTAATGCAGTAAGTTGGATCATCCTTACTTCATCGCATACTGATATCTGTGATGCAAAAATGCGATGTCACTGACGGGAAACGGTTCGTTGTTTCGTATAGCCCCGGTCACAACCCGCTGTACGTGCCTTTTGTCCGTACGATTTATTGGGAGGCTACGTCTGCTGCGTTTTGGGAAGGAGTGGCGTCGACGCACGTCACTCGCACGGTTTCGCAAGGTGTAAGAGTGGGGTCTGCACGCCACGTCTGGCCGTGAGCGGTTGCGTGCATCGTACGTTGCGCAAGTGGTAAGTGAGTTGTACGTGCTTATAACGTACGATCTCTGTGCGATTGCAACTTTACCGTAAGGAGGCCGTACTCACACGTGCGTCTTTCGTACGGTACGTACGGGGCACGCGCGTCGCCGGTACGCTCGCACGCACGGGTGGTGAATCCGCAGACCGCACGTAGAAAAAGTTTTACATGCACTTAAAGTTTTACGGCGTGTCTGCGTGCTCCAAAATCCGTAGGATTCCGTACGGAGGTGGTACTCACCACGCACGGATGCCCTACGTTTGCCCACGTTTTTGCACGTAGACAGCACGCAGAAGCACGTACGGCGGGTTGTGACCGAAGCTTATCCTAGGCCGGTTCTACCTATTGACGGTCCCCGAAATCATTTATGTATTTCTTATCTAGTTTCTGTCTTTTCTGTGGTAAATTAAAAGATACGTCTCACGTAGCTTGTTTTGGGGCTACTTCAAACGCTTCATACTACTAGTACGGTAAATGGCACTAAATGTCAGTATCAAAAAGATTTCCTCATCCAGAATGATTTTGTTTTGCTGGACTGAAATTGCATTGGATGGCTTTAACCACCAACACATATTTACTGTCGAGTAGTACCAGATGTTGTTATTATGCCAACCTGAAAATTCGTGCCCGAGGAAAAGTATTCTCAGAGGTTTGGACTTTTACTTACTTTGTTTTTTATCGGGCTTTCTTTTTGGCACACAAAAAAGATACAGTATAAAAAAAGCCCCAAAACACGTCCCAAAAAACAAGCTAAAGGCCAAAGCTCTGCTTGGAGAGTAGAGGAAAAGGTGGTTTCTTTAATGTTGCCTATGTGCCTTTATAGGCGAGATGATTCCTCATCCACCTTGAGTCTTTATTCGGCTAGGCCTTTATTCTATAGCCCCAGTATAGGATTATCGACACCAACACAACCATGTTACACTGAGATGCTGACAGTGATCAATGGAGCTCATGCTCTCCAGGGCACCTTAATGCTAATGGCATTGCCTAAGGACAGCTTTATTGCGTCAGCTAAGGACATCGTCATTGAGTCAACTAAGGACATGTCATCATTCTTCAGTTACCTAAGGACATCGTCTTTAAGGACATCTACCTGCTTTTAGCTATTCTACGCACAATATTAAAGACAGCCAATGCAATTTCAGGGCGGCAAAACTGGATTTTCAAAGTCCATTTTCTGGTCGTTCTTTTAATGTAGAAAGTTGAAACAATCCCAGTAAAAGGCAGTATCCCATAACATACTGATATCTGTGAGGCAAAAATACGGTGTCGCTGACGGAAAACGGTTGCATGTTTTGTATCGTAGTACAGGCTGGTTCTAGCTATTTATAAACGGTACCAAAATTAAAAAAATAAAGAGACGCATCGCGTAGCTTGTTTTGGGGATATTTCAAACATTTGAATATGCTACGAAAGGGCAGTAAATGTAAATATCAGACAGATTTCGTCATCCAGAATATTTTTCTGTTTTGCCGCCCTGAAGTTCCATTGGATGTCCTCAATGTCGCATTTCTCGTAGATCGGCTATTACTGGTAGCCTCTACCAGGCTTGGGGAGGCGGCTGGAAAGAGTAGAAATCGGTCAAATAGAGAGATAAGCATGCCGGAGGAGTTTGTCCGTTAAGAGAACAGTTCGCCGCACTGAGATAGTTCTTCTGTTGGAATAATGAGGGGATTACTTTTATGCCGTTTGATCATGGCGACTCCCGACAGGCTTGGGGTGCGGCGAACTGTTCTTTCAACGGACAAACTCCCTTGGCATGCTTCTCTCTCTATTTGACCGATTTCTACTCTTTCCAGTCGCCTTCCCAAGCCTGATAGAGGCTAGTTTATTTCACCTTATGATATGTTCCGTCCCAGTTTGCGCATACGGACAGGACTGGGACGTGGCGTCCGTCAGTACCGTGACGGCGTACAAGGCACGGAGCGCCGCCCACATCCCGGCACAGATCTCCGTCAAGATCGGGCTCAAGTCCTTCAACGTCACCATGACAGGTATTTTACCATCAAAGTTCATCTGAGTTGGTAAATTATATGTACATATAGAGAAAATCAAACTGTTTTCCAACTCGAAAGAAATTTGACCCACCGAATTTCTTAACTGAACTAGGTATTTAACCCAAGTGCTGTAGACACTTCTGATTTTTTTCCGCACGTGTGACGTCAGCACTGGGTCAAAGTTCGACGGAAGTCGGTACCTCCCCCCGTCGCGGTTGAGAGCTGGTATGCCCTGATGTAAATGGCTTCCTTCATTTCAACATCTTTAATTGACCCAGTGCTGACGTCACACGTGCGGAAAAATCACACTTCTACAGCACTTGGGTCAGATAGCTGATGATCACAGGTATCTATTCACACAGTAATTGTACCTTTGCTGTCACGTGACTATGACGTGATTTAGCGTCCGCCATGTTGGTGGGTTAGATGCGTGTGAAATCATCACGTGAGAAGTGTTCTTGTCCGTTAATTTTTCCTAATTCAAAAGTTCCAACACATTTTTATTACAAAACGTACGTGAAAAAAAAACTCTCATCTTTTGCCTGTCTGCTCATATTTCTTCCAGGTGAACGCCTTCGTATATACGAGTGTGACAGGGGCGTGCCTGATCTCACGGCCATTCGAAACGCAATGGCCACCTTCACAATAATCCATGTACATGTAAGCATGCAACACTAAGACAATTTTTCATCATCCTTCTATACCAGGCATGCCGGGTAACCAGTCCGGCGGCAGACTGCAGTACAGTGAGCGGTACGCGCTGGACCTGCGGGAGTTTTCCCAGGACCTGCACACGTCCCACCTGGCGGGCGTGCCCTACCCCGTCATCAAGGTGGCGGAGGACATGGCTCTCACCAAGCTGGCGGAGTACAGCACCACGGGACACTACACCATGATGCTCATGTGGTAGGCTTCACTCTCCAAGCAGCGGTTGGTGGGGAAGAAGGTGACATTTGAGCCCTGCGACCTGTGGCAGAAGTGGGTGGGAGTAGCGACAGAAAACAGGGCATATTCACAAATTTCACACTTCCCATAATGCCTAGTAAAAGTCACGGATATGACGTAAGACAACCCCCTCCCCTTTCCTGGATGTAATATTTCCAACAAGTTCTATCGACAAACTGGTCAACTATTGTTTTGAATTATTTCTCTAGTATAAAGCGCATGCCATAATTGCATTTTTGTTGGAATTAGAGAAAATGAAGTACCTTCTATCGTTCTGTAAGAAACCAGGAGGAGACAGTAGAAACAGATAAAAAACCCTTGGTCCCGGGCCGGATTCGAACTCACGGCTCCCGGGCCACAGTCAGACGCTCTAACTGAGTGAGCTAAAAGGTCTAGACCTATTAGACCCGTTGGCTGGGTCAGTTGGTAGCGCCTATAAACCCCCAACTGTTACAGTTCTAATATACGTAATGCGACCGTGCGAGTAGGAGAGTCTTCGGTAGAAAGTAGAACGATAGAAGGTACGTTATTTTCTCTAATTCCAACAAAAATGCAATTATGGCATGCGCTTTATACTAGAGAAATAATTCAAAACAATAGTTGACCAGTTTGTCGATAGAACTTGTTGGAAATATTACATCGAGGAAGGGGGAGGGGTAGTCTTACGTCATATCCGTGACTTTTACTAGGCATTATGGGAAGTGTGAAATTGGTGAATGGTAGAAAAGTCACAATCTTCCCCACTAACCTCTACTTGGTGTGTAGTAAGCCTCTCTGCAGAGACGCTGATAGAATATTTTTACATTTTCAGGCCGCTTTACTTTTCTGGCAGCCAGTTATCCCAGCTTCAGTTTTCGCCGTCATTTCCGTAAGAAATCGAATCTCAGGGAATTGTTTACTCAAGCAACTGGATAGATTTTGAAGAAACTGTCAGACTGTTTCAAGTAGCATTTTTATCAAAATCTATGCAGTTGTATGAGTAACAATTTATTGTGTATCTCATTACCAGAATGTCTAACCTTCATCGAACTCGAGTTCTCATTGTGGCCAAAGCTTTCTCCAAATTTCGAACGAAAAACAAGACAAACCAGATCAATTTTCTCTTCAAACCTTTTGGATGTAATTTACAAGTTTTTCTTCCCTTGGTGCTGGAAGGAAAATTTTTCAAACTTTTCGTTTGTTTTTGTTTTCATTTCGCAAGAAATTTATTAAACGTGCCTTGTCTCTCAACGCGGCAGTTTTGTAGCCTCCGATCCGAGCGGGTTTGTAGAATTGTAGAAGCGTCTTTTGCCGCCGACAGATCCGCCTCGAAGGCAAAAGCTAGAAGAACACGCTAACAATTCTACAAAACGCCCAACCGCTCGGAGGACTGCACAGGAGGCTAGAAGTTTTGCCCATCGATCCATCAATGCATGATGTACAAAATGACTAATAAACTGGTGGACGTCCCAACTACTAAGTACCTAATACCTGCCCAGAAAAGAACAAGAAATAACCATGCCTTCAAATATCAGAGTTATCAACCAAGGATTGAGGCGTTCAAGAATTCATTCTTTCCTAGAACTATCGCAGAGTGAAACTCACTGTCACCAAGTACAGTAGGGGCATTGTCATTAGATAGCTTTAAACAATGTCTAGAGTTAGATGTCCAAGGGCTATGTGTAACGTCGATTGGTGTAATGTAGCCAGCTGCGCCGCCACGCCGCGTGCCTGCGAAGCTGGTATGTAACGCCAAGGGGCGGTTATACCGGCTACTAGTATATAGAGTACAGATACAGATACAGAACGGTTTTACCCAACACATGCAGGCTGTCCCTCTCCCTCTGGGTGCTGACGGGGCTGCTGTTCTCCCTGGTGCGGCGGTACGGCGCCTACTGTCTGCTGCTCACCGGCATCACGCTCATGCTCGCTGTCGTGCCGGTGGCATCCACTCGACTCGGACCTGCACATGTCATCCACTTCCCCAACGCCACCTTGCGATTCTCGCTGGGATGGTGCTTCTGGACAGCCCTAGTCACTGGTGAGTAGTGTGACGTGCATGATATCTTAATACGAGTTGTCTACAATGATTTCTCACACAACATAGAGTGCGGTTTATATATCACCGAACAGTGTTAAAGCCGATTTACGCCTGTTAAGAACTGAACATAGCTTGTAGGACATTGCGGCATATGAACTGTAGTACTCATCTGGAACACCACAGTTGTATCAGTCTGTATGTAACGTCTAAATGTAATTTCCTCCATGGGAAATGGAGGTATTATTTTTGGCACGCCTGTGTGTGTGTGTGTGTGTGTGTGTGTGTGTGTGTGTGTGTGTGTGTGTGTGTGTGTGTGTGTGTGTGTGTGTGTGTTTCTGCATGGTCCTTATGTTAAGTTGCTATGGATATGCGTGAGTTCAGTCTGCCCCAAAGGGAAAAAGTCACGTCTACTTCTGTTAGTGTTAGCACTCACGGTTTACACAGGTTTTTCGTTACATGACCTCCTTGACAGCTGGTGTCGTTTCACTTGCACGATAACGACAGACCTGTAGACACCATGGTGGATGAGAGGAGGACTGTGTAGTCACCATCACACAAGATCTAAATACGTCATGGAGGTATGAGATCTCTAAATTCTTATTTCCGTCTTTTATAACCTCACACAGGCTGTCTGTGCACGTCGTCTGGTCTGGTCTTCTCGATCGTAGAGCTTATCAAACACTCGCGAGACTTGGAATCCTCGCCGAACCAGGAGGAAGTGAAGGTTGGCTTCGGGTCATCCGGGGTCACCAACCTTGCCTTTGAGACGGACGAACAGTCGGCGGGAAACACGGTATACTGATCTAAGGCCACAGCAAGTAATTTTTATGGATGACACCAGCGAGCGCATTAATTTTCGGCTGATTTTGGAAAAAAAAACAAGAAATTTTGTTGACTTCTGACAGTGGTCAACATGCCGAAAATGGGCAAAGATGTCTGCTGCCATGCCAGAAGGTGGATGGCAGATAACTATGAAGAGAGGAGACAAGAAAAGACTCTGATTTAATGTTTTGTTTCTTATTTTGATGCAGTGATACGTGATGCTGCTTGTGTATGTGATGTTCCCACTGAATCAAAATCATTTGTACTATGATTGAGTCAAAATTTTAAAATGTAGGAACCTTGTTTTTTCGGCCCGTCTTGTGTTTTTTTTCGCCCGCTCGCATTAGATTTGGAGTCTGTGGAGGATGTCATCCATAAAATTTACTTGCTGTGGCCGAACTTTGAACTCATCGATTTTAATTTGCTCGAGATGATATCAAAGGATGTTTAAACTTTAGAACTCTTAATATAAGTGGTATTTCAAACATATTTAAACCTTGGGACTATTAGTATAAGTGATACTACAAACACGTTGATTTATGAATTTCTATACACTTGTTCGTGCTTAGTTGTAGTAGACCTTACAAACGTCGCTGTACTTCCGTTGTGATAATAAAGGTTGTTAGTCAGACGTAATGTCCCGTCCACTGTGAACTTAACTACATTCTGTATTGCTTTGAATGCAATGTCCAGTACCTAGCTATAACAATCGTGACTGAAACAAAGACAATGCTTCTATTGGGAAAAAAACACCTCCGAAATCTCTTACCTTCCTTCTACCGTTAGAACCAGACCACGTCCATGAACAAGTCAGGACTGATTTCGACCGAAGAGAAACCACCACACCGGACTGTGGACAGGAAGCAGCCGCCCACGTTTCTGGCAGGGAGGTACGTTGGTCAGCATGATCTTGTGGTGTGATGGTAGGGTATTTGGCCCAGAAAAAGGTCCTGGGTTCGACTCCACCTTGGGAAAGGCACTTGACAATGCTTTCCTCACTTCACTCAGGTGGAAATGAGTACCTAGCTTTGGTTAGGGACGTGTCTCGTGTTTTTGGATCGAGAGCTAGCCTCTACCAGGCTTGGGAAGGCGGCTGGAAATAGTAGAAATCGGTCAAATAGAGAGAGTTTGTCCGTTGAGAGAACAGTTCGCCGCACCCCAACTGTTCTCTCAACGGACAAACTCCCTTGGCATGCTTATCTCTCTATTTGACCTATTTCTACTCTTTCCAGCCGCCTCCCCAAGCCTGGTAGAGGCTAATCGAGAGCTACACCCCCATTAACAGCTAGCATACCTTTTGAAACAAGACTGGCAATGAAAACATACATTGCCATGGCGACGGTGGTTGTCGTTAGGGCTATTGTTCGCATCGTACTGCCATCATTTCATGATTTTGAGGAAGACTTGGTACCCGTTAAGTCTAGACAGATACAGTGCACTCCTCCCCTGAGTGTATAGTGAACAAGCCCCTGGGTCACAGAAAGTATGGTCATCTGGGACAGACAGGTCTTCCCAAGGGTTCCAGGAATGTGGGCATAGTGGCATGTGGGTCAGAGACATGCCTGTGGACATTCCATTCCTGTGGACAAAATGCCTGTACCATTCCTAGAATTCTTGCAAACTGCACACAATACTGTACCATTAGGCTCCTCCCTGAGACGTCGCCAAAAAAGAGTAGGGCATGCCCCGGTGCGCGATGGTTCAAATGCTTCTATCTGGTGATTCACGCACGTGTGAGTACGGCCTCCTTACGGTAAAGTTGCAATCGCACAGAGATCGTACGTTGTAAGCACGTACAACTCACTTACCACTTGCGCAACGTACGATGCACGCAACCGCTCACGGCCAGACGTGGCGTGCAGACCACACTCTTACACTTTGCGCAACCGTGCGAGTGACGTGCGTAGACGCCACTCCTCCCCCACGTTTTCAGAAAAAAACGTAGCAGACGTAGCCTCCCAAAAAACGTACGGACAAAAAGCACGCACGGCGGGTTGTGACCGAGGCTTTATGAAAGACCTCCAAGCAGATCCTACGGTGGCAAGATAGTATCTATTAGAGGAGTGACCATTAGCCTTTGGTGGCTAATGGTCATTCCTTTGGCCAATGGATACTGTCATGCCATCATATGATCTGCTTGGAGATTACTATAAGACAGCGTCTTTATGTGGGGTGGGCAACTTGAAAGATAGCCACAGAACGACTTATCAAATCAAATGTCCGACATATACAAACTTCATTGCTGCACTGCAGGTATTTGAAGTGTTTGTCTTTCTCTCCCATACGATGTTAAAAGCTATTCCCCTCTCCATGTCTGCTTTAGACCTTCCCATTCGTAAAGTGGCCTGTCTTCAATGCACTGGAGTGCCTCTAAACGCTACCTGTATGAACCGGTTTTTCTAATGTTACTGCCATTACATTTGTCTGCAGTGACGTGTGCGGCCAGATTGAAGAGGAAGAGACCGAGAAAGAGGAGGACGAAGACACCCAACTGTAAACACTTGAAGGCAATCCTGAACACATTGTCTTTACAGACATCCGTACACGCGGCTTCCACATCACTGCACGAGAGATGCTTGAAGTGAAATCGCGAGCCTGCTTGGCCCGTAAGCATACTTAATCTTAAGTGGGACTTGAAATTCGAAGTCTGTTTCGCAGATGTATTAAGCCTGCCTGCCTGTCTGCATTTTTGACAGCGAGTTTCTGTGATGTACTTGTGTGTCAGACTGTTTCCAGGGCCTACACAGGAAAGTTTCCCGGCTCCAGGGCCAGCATGCCCCCATGGAAATTATACCACAGCCCCCCTATCAGTTAGGTTCCTACCGCTGGCTAGCTCTAGGCCTAGTGTGTTTAATATGGGTCTGGCATCCAGGCTATGATATACTGTAATGTAATGTAAATACGTTCAAAATCACATCAAAAGTCAGCTTTTGTCGAGCATCTTATTCTATACTTTTTGGCTTTAAAATTTCGTTTATTGACTGACTTCCATGTATAGACGGCAGGGAGTCATCTCTTACACCCCCCCTCCATGTATCAAAGCCCGATGTATAACACTGTAACATGGAAAAGTATACTGCCTCCGTTCAACTTTTTAAGTATGGATATATTTGTATACAAACATTGCCAAGAAAAAAAAACACACTGAACGTTACCGCTTTGGTTTAACAACATAAATGTTGATGCTTTAAACCAGATTTAAGTTGTGATTTTCTGTGTTGTGTGTTTAATATGTATATGTATGCAATGTCCTGTAATAAAACTGTTGTACACATGCTGGCTATTTCTCCGGATTTTTTTTTTTTTTTCATTTTTCTTCTGACTCATTCCATATACATTTTGCACACAATACAACATGGGGTCATTAAAAAAGAAAATGTAAATTTTTATTGACTTTTACAAGGGGTCAGTTATAGACAAAATCATGCACCCGGATTTGCCATGTACGCGGTAAGTTACAACAGACAATGTTGCTCTGAACAGTACGCGTGGTACAATGGAGTGGCCCTGTATCAAAAATAACGGGACATGTAGTAAGACCGCCCTTCACAACACGGCACCAGACTGGTCATTCAACCGGCAGTCAGGCGCTGGGCACTGAAATCAGGGCTATTCCATTACCAACTGCATGGGGTGGTAGTAAAGTCTGTGTACTTCTCTCCATTTCTCATTATTCTCGTCCCACTTTTAAAACATCAATTCTTCCATCAATGCCTTTAAATAAAGACTTCCACTTCAAAGATAAATTTCATATTTTGTCCTGTAAATTTCCAGTCCATCACAATAATATTTCCATCATTTGTGCACCTCAGCACAGCCATTATGAAGGAAGTTTTAGTTTTCCTCACCCCTTTTGTTGAATGGAATAGCCCTTGGAATGACAAGTAGCACACTACAGCAAGCTCACTGATATACATTGTAGACAATATCCAGAACATTTCTTACATCTCACAGATGGTGTCCAAACGTGATTGGCTCCAAGTGATAATTGAATTATCCACTAATACCTGTATATAATTACAAAACTTCTGTAGAGGGGAAAGACTGCCCTTGCTTCATTCTAAAATCATTTCATACACTTTCTGTGGTAGATATTCATTTCTTTAAATACACATATCCAACATAAAATTTAAAACAATTAACATGTAAACTTTTCCAGTACTTTATGTATTGCCCACACCAATAGTAATAGTAAAGTCAAAGGATACAGATGGAAAATAACACTCATGGAATAAATAAAATGAATTTATATTTTTCAGGAGTGGTTGTCCTGATTTTGTTGGTAATCAATCTAAGAATTTGAAATGGCGACACAGCCTTTCAGTCGACTGCCAATCTAGTTTGGCCACCACTGCCGAGCATACATAACTCAAGACCAGGGCAGGCCACTGATATATAGTGATCACAACTCATCACAACAGAATAGAAGGTTGTAGAAGTAGAATAGTACATGTACACCTTCTACTCTGGACAATGACAAGAACAACAAACTATTCAAACTACACCAGGGGTAAAATCATCACTTGTTCAAGCCCTATTTTGTTTTTGGAGGTGTTGAAATGAACCAACTTATTGCAGTCATACTCATGCAACACAACCCACCATTTTTCATATTGTAACCCCCAGAGCAAACTCTTTCCATAGAGGTGAAAATGTAGAACTGGAAATCTTGACTGTAGAGTAAAAGAGTGACTTATTTCTGGACTGCCAACACCTTCAGAAGACTGCTGTCCAACCTTGGTACTGTTGGTACAACTGTGCAATAAAATGGACAATGTTTAGGTGACTTTTGCAAGCAGTTTACTGCGCTGTGAATTTTGTCATGGATCGTAGTTTGTGGCAGTGTCTTCGATGTAACATTTCAAATAACCTGTTTTCAGGTAAAATACAGAAAACCTTTCCAGGTTTCCAGATGAAAACTCACGTCTTCCTTCCCCCTTGCTTCTGTGCAAAATTTGTCTCAAGATGTTGGACAGAAACTTGGATTGCACTTGGGTTTGCAGGTGTCTCAGAAGGAATTTGAATGCATCCAAAAAAATTTATCACACAAATACTGGAGAGAAAAAAAGTGAAGATTGACTGGCACAATACTATGACAATATCCCTCCTTGCCCTATTTTTGCTGTGTGTACTTGAGTGTAGACTTGACAGTGGAGTAAGAGGGGTGACGGGTAAGGGCTCAAACACGACATGTACGACGAACATCCTTGGAAGACGCAGCCCTTTTTCGCTCTACAAAGTATGTATGGGGTTCAGTCAGCAAGGATGACAACAGCCTTCCAAGGTCTTGACACGTGTGACAGGGGTACAGCACAGGCATTGTACTACCAATAGACATGTACGCAACACAGCTGCTGTTCAGGCCACAACTGACAGCATACACCAGACATGTCAGCGGGTGGGTATGTCTACCGTCTTCTACACAAACAGCTCATGTCTGCGGACACGCTACAAATTTTTTTTTCTGTGTTAGATTTTTTATAAATTGTTATTGTCTCATAGATTTTTCTTTCCACAAAGGAACATGTACAGCAATTTTTGTGTTAATAGCTGCAAGGGAAGCAGATATGAGGGTAGAAAGCACTATAATACAATCTGATAGACCAGCCATGGACCTCACAGCTGATAAAACAATTAGAGATATCTTCTTGGATATACAACTACACTGCAAATCATAGTCATCAACATGCTTTCCTTCATAAGGAAATTGCTTTTTTTAACCATCTACTACATATTTACCGACAAAAACATGTGTACATGTTAACCAAAGCCAGTTATATTACATGGCTAGCATCACAGGCTGTCGACAGAGCACCAAGCACTATTAGTACAATACAAAAAATATACGTTAAGAGAATCCACTAGATAAGGTTTTGGTAATCTCCATCTAACATTTGTAAAAACTAAGACAGCTAAATATTTTTTCCTTGTTGGCGTTCTGTGCAGCTGACGTTACTGTTGTTTTTGTCCTGAGCTGCCAAGTGTGAGTAGTACAAACTTCCTCCAAAAATCAGCTAAAAATGACAAAGGAGAAGCGATTGTTCGCAGACACGTCTCCTCTAACCTGCCATCTCAACTCAGTGCCTGCTGTGGCCAGGACGGACGGTCCAAAATATCCTCACATATCAAAAATATACAACTTTGAAGAATGACGTCTCCGGAAATCTCTCAAGATGCTTCCAAACCAAATTTACACAAGAAGAACCCGAGTCTTCGGTTTAGACAATTTCAAACCAGACTTTCACCTCTGGTGCATTTGTTAGATCAAAGAAGAAATTAAACAAGTGCTTCTTTTTTTAACTTAAAAGAACTATGAATTTTTCAATTAAAAAAAATAGATCATTTGTCGGCGACTTGTGCCATATAGAATTCATGCCACTCTTAGAAGGCTGCACAGGACCATGTGTCCCTGGTTTATTTCGTTATAGCTATTTTGTTGTTGTAGTTGTTCCTGAGTCCAGTCCTTTGTAGCTTGTAGACAAACACGCAGCACCGAGTTAGAAACCATCTCGACAAAAACCAGATTCCAGTCCGTCCTGTCCACACAGGTTCATACAGCCATTCTTTCATCTACTCCCTACAACATACTACAGGTAACTAGCTGTACAATCCGTTACTTTAAACCCTTCAACCCTAAAACATCTACAGGTATTTGCCTTTTTTCCATGTCGTGGTAAGAAATACACAATGTATCTTTACAAATGCTCTATAGATAGATCTCTTGGGACAATTAGATTACAGAAATGTTCTTCGTTTTTCTGGAAATTTTCATTCTCTAATATGTACAAAACATAGAGGGGAGGGGGGTGGTCAGTCTTCTCTTGGACATCACTAAAACCGTGGCTCTTTTATCCTTCTCACACATTGCACCATTGTCCTATACTGCCATGGTTCAATCAGTCTTCGAAAGAAACGAATAAAACACAGGATACGCCCCTCATGCAATCAACCTTCTTCATAAAAAATACATTTCAATGCTTCTTCTCAAAGCCTTGTCTACTGTGATATTCTAGGACTGTTAACGAGTTACTGTACTGGATCCCTTCATCCCTTACATCTACCTATACTCCGGCATGGAAGTTATGCCGCCCCCCTCCCCCTCCCACAGGGAAGGTCTGCGCCATGCACACATTCAAGCTCCTGTTCACAGATAACACAGAATGCACTTTACTAAACTGTAGCCCCCTCCCCCGTACAAACCTAGCATGTAACATCGTCACCCAACACCACTCCTTACAGCCTATCCATCCGGAATGAGTCTTCTGTGGCCGGGTCTGCCACCATGTCGGAGGGTTCCGTCAGCATCTGTAAGCTCTCCAGGTCCAGGGGATCTATACCCACTTTCAGGGGGTCGTCCGCCGCAAACAGGGTGTCCGAGTCAAAGCCACTGGCCATGCTGGCCATGGCACTGCCCAGGTCTTTGGCAAAGTCCTGGCGTGGCGGCGACTCTCCCGCTCCTGAAACAAGTTCCCAATGTATCATGGATGATTCATTCTTTTACATGTCACCGCAAAGGCAGTTTTTAAAGGGGCGAACACAAATCAACGCCACAAATCCACCAAATGATATGCACCGAATGAAAGGAATGACACCACATCCAACGGGAAAAGAAAATGTTGGCATTACCAGCAAGATCTGCACAAGTAGCAGGAAGATATTCTAGAAAAGATTAGAATTTTGTGATAAGAGGTTGGTTAAAGTGCTGTTGAGGTTGGTTAAGTGTCGGTAAAAAGTTACAAGAATGTCTGTCACTAAATTGTCCACAGATGAAGAGAAACAGGAAACAACAGGGCCAACATCGAACACGGTGAACAGCAGATATAGCATATACATGTAAGAGGCACGTCGGCAGAATGTTCTGCATCTGTGCAAAACCCATAATGTTTTGTACTCAGCACTTCTGACGAATGCCTTGTTTAAGGTCGTATTCACATACAAGTACATGTATATATGGATGAGATCCCATCTATAGTTGTCAAAAAAGATATCGTCTGCAACGGGAACAATTCTGACGCAACGTTGACTTTACGCCCAACAAAAACCATGAAAAATGTGGATTTCAATCAGGCCCAGTAAGTTCTGCCGACGTGCTTATACAGAAATAAGGCCACACCAATTTAATTTTTGGTTAACAGATTTTCCCACTTCATTTTTTTCTGATTTGCAAATAAAAATAAAAATTAAGAATCAACTGCAACATGCTCATATTTTGCCCTGAACAGTTGAAAACAGTCCTTTTCATCCTAGTTGTTACAGTTATTCCATCTTTCACTGCAATGGTATCATTAAAAGTTCAAAACTCATTGTTCCAATTTTGAACTAGCCTGGTGTGTTGACTTCATGGCTCCTATTTTGGGCCATAATAGGATGCCTAGACCTGTTTTTATTTTAATTTTTTTTTTTCGCCTGCCCGCTCCATTATTTTTCTAGAACAATCCGTTAACCAAGAAATTAAATTGGTGTGGCCTAAGCACTCTTTTTAATTGTGTACATCACTTGTAATGAAAAAGACACTTCAAATCCCAATACAACATGAGAGGATAGGTACAGTAAGGTGGTGCGGGGTACCTGTGAGGATGATATCAGGGATCCCCTGGTTGCCCTGCGAGGTGTGTGGGTACGGTGGGACCTTGTTGTTGTTGTTTGGCTGGAGGAACTCCTGGCTGCCTGTCAAGCCGTGGATCTGGGCCTGGGCGTACTGCATGTCACTCTGGGGCAGCAAGAAGAACAACATGCACACATTCCAACAAACAGGCTAACCATCAGGGTCACTCTTGACTTGACAAATGTGAATATCTTCGGCCATACTGACTTTATTTTATGGGTGATATCCGCGCGCATTGATTTTCTCAAAAAGAAAAAGAAAAAAAGAAAAAAATCACGTCCACCGAGGCTCTGGCCTGGCTCTCTTGGCCTGGGTAGTCCATGGTAGTTAGCGACAATACGGAGGTGGTAACTCTGGAGGATGGCACTCAGGGTACTGAAGCTCCACAACTCAAGAACTCAGTACATACGTACAGTGCTGATTCATAAATTCCGCAAAAAGCCAGTATGTGCATGCTGGTTTGTCGTATACGTCGCTAAGTACTGTCGCAAATTCACAATACCAGCTTTGTATTCCTGTGGTTTAGTAGCATTTTTATTTTTGGCCGGATCTTTTTTTATATTTGCTCGCATGCACTTGTTTGGGGGTCTTCAGAGGATGTCATCCATTAAATTAAGTCTGTGTGGCCTTACAAAGAAACATGCTAGACAACATGTTGACTTACCATTGTCTGTCCCATGTAGGGATTACTGGTGATGGGTGACATACTGGAAGTTGTCAGAGGTGAAGTGCTGGGATTATCCTGCACCATGCTGAACTGTTCAAACTGTGCATCAACAACACAAACAACTTCAGAGGCAGGATAACATTTCTTAAAGCTGCATTATGTAACATTAGCATGATATAAAAATGAAATATTCTGGTTAAAGTAAGTTGAATCAACCCTACTCCATTGCAAGTAAGTGGCATTTTGGAAGTGGAGGTGCCAAAATATGACGACTGTGTTTAAAAGCTGGAAACACAGCTGTCAGTGATGTTTGTTTACATTTTATTAGTTTGAGGTGGTACCACAAACTGAGTATGCCTTTGTGTGGGCTGTTTTCATGCCAACCATAAATATCAGAAATATTAACTGCAGAAATACCTTGAAAAGTGGAAGCAGGTCACAACCACATGTATTTTTTTAGTTTTCAAATTTCAAATTTTTGGTGCAAAAACTTATAATGCCCCAATAATGAGGGACAGCTATATGCTATCCAAACTTCTCACGTTAATATTCAGTTAACTGATTGACATACTGTAGGTGATCAATAAGAAAAAGAATATTTGTCAGACAACTGAACTAATAAAAAACCTGTTGTTAGCACACACAAAAAAAACATTGTGTCCTACTAAACCTACCATGTATTCAACTATTTTACCTTACTGATCTACAGATGTGAAACAAATTGTTGCTTTGTAGTTGTAATTGTTCATTGCTTTGTAGTTTTACGCTAATTGTAGTCTAATGGATGCAAGTGTTATGTTATGTGCCTTAATTTGAATTACATTTGTGTACTCTGTGTTTTATGAATCCAGGAAGAATAGATTAGATTTGTCATCTAATCTAATGGATATCTAATAAAACATCAAAACAAACATCAAACACTACACAGCTTTACAAAAGTTGTTTTTCCCTACCTGGTGCTGTAGAGCATTGGTCTGTTGTTGTTGCTGAAGATAGTACGACTCACTGAATATTGTGTTGGGCATTGAGGAGATGGGACTTTCTGCACCCTGTGGTACACAGAAACACATGCATGTACTGATCATAGCAAACCATCTTTTCTACATCTGGAACTGTACAGTACAACACAAAACAGGAATAACAGCCATGTTATCAATTTGTGTCAAGTACTGGTCTAGTCTTTGGGTCTAGGAGAAAATGTTGTGTTTCCGGTTTTCCAACCAACCCTAGCAAAAACCCGCCGACCGTACCTTTTATTTATCGACTGCTGGTAAGGCTACATGTATCTGACATCTGAATTTCAAACCCTCTGAATCTGAAACATCATTTAACGCATTTTCAAAAGCAATTTTTCTTCACTAAATTGGACCAAATATTTGTCCACAATCAAATAAGCAGGTTCTTGAGACAGTCCTGCTGCATTGTTAAACTTCAATTTTGTTGGATCATTTTAGCTGAAATCTAAAAAAAAAAAGAAGACAATCCCTACCAGTAGTACCTACTGACTCTACTTTTGTTAGGACGGAAACCGGAAACACTACATTAATTTTCCTAGGCCTTATGTTTGTCCTCTTTTCCTGTTTCATGAATACCCCCTGATGAAAGCACAGTTACCGAGATCTACCTTACCAGTATATGTGTATACATCCTACCTGAGGGGTCTGCTACAAGGAGTATAGACAGAAGCATGTAGAGAGAGAGAAGTAGAGACAGAGTGTGGCTGTTGCCTGTACAACTTAGAATGAATACATGGCATCCAAGTAATGCACCGGAGCCTTGTCTTAGCCCTAATTCAGTAATGTTAATAGATCTAAAATACCAACAAAGATGCAAATTAAACAACTAACAGACAACACCTGCAGTAGTGGTAGAAATACTTTTTTCCTATCCCAAGCCCTAACGCTAAACCCTAACCTAAGCCTACCCCTACCCCAACCCTAACCCTAACCCAACCCCTAAAGCCTCGGACACAACCCGCCATACATCCATCTGCGTGCTGTCCTACGTGCAAAACGTGGGCAAGCGTAGGGGATCCGTAAGTGGTGAGCACTGCCTCCGTACAGAATCCTACGGATTTGGGAGCACGCAGACACGCCGTAGTACCTTAAGTGCAAGTAAAAGTAAAGCCTCCTTACGGTAAAGTTGCAATCGCACAAAGAGCGTTAACCCAACCCTGACCCTAACCCAACCCTGACCCTAACCCAACCCTGACCCTGACCCTAACCCAACCCTGACCCTGACCCTAACCCAACCCTGACCCTGACCCTGTGAGTATGTCTGGTTGGAGAGTGGGGATGAGGGAGACTGTGATGTGGGTGTGGGGGGACCTGAGGCCACCCCTGACGGCTGACTCCGGTACTGCTGCATCACCACCTGTAGTGGGAAAAGGACAGGTCCAGCAATTTAGCTGGGGCAATCTTCATAATTTCCTGGACTGTGACCATAGGTGTGTTTACACTTTTATGTCCTACCTGGGCCGCGATTACGTTCGATACGGGTGTTCCGGCCCGTGTGATAACTAGCGGTACGGCCCGGGGGTTCTTTACGCGTACGGCCCGGGCCTTCCAAATGTTCCATAGAACGATTCGAACGCGTTTTGGCCTAACCGCGTGCACCGATTTCAATTTCGAAATTTGAATACAGAATCCGGACGTTGGAATTGATGTCTCATTTTTTGGGTTTCAAGGGACCAAAATTTTTTCGCTCATTTCGCATTGAAAGGCGCGTTTTCTTGGGTGGGTATGACATCGGTCCCGGCCAGTAGGGCCGATACCTCAGGCGATACGGAATACACCGTGTTGTATTCTACATGTATATGTATTCAGCCTGTTTGGAGCGAGATCCGACCAAAGACCGAGGGTGATGCGGAATACACCATATTGTATTTTTGTATTAAACCCACTTGTGCCCAGCTTGTGGCAGAACCTTCAAAGCCTGTATACATGTAGGACTGGTGATCACCGCCGGACACACAGAACATGACTTGATGTCCCTTATCATCATCGAGAACAATGGATGAACAACAACATTGTATTCTATTCATGTCAGGTTATAAATATCTAGCCAAGAAAACACATTTTCCAAAATGTAATGTGTCAAAATTTGGTGTCCCTAAACATAAAATTGCAATATCAATACCAACATCTGCCCGAATCCCACATTCAACTTTTCAAAACTGATGCACTCACGCATGCGAAACACGGTCGAATTATTCTATGAAACATTTGTAAGCCCCATGATACATGTAACCATTAGAACCTTGTGTGATTCGGTTACATTGTAGTTATCATGCTGGCTGGAACACCTGTATCGAATGTTATAGCAGCCCAGGTATGACAAATTCCATTATCTTTTGAAGGGACCACGCATGGTACAGTTGTATGTAGGGCTCATAGGGATGCCTTGCTTACAATACAGAGCATACCATAAAACCTTAATGAGTAAACTGTGACTACTGACCATTATACATACAAGCACAAAGCACAATGTCGGCAAAACTTACTGCACCTGCGCAAAACCTGTAATGTATTGTACATAGCACTTTGGCAGAACGTCTCATATAAGGTTGTATTTGCTCATATAAGGTTAGCATTCCGACAGTAGTTTCCAAATGTTATGTCGTACAAGATATCGTCTGCAACAGGGAAAATTCTGATGCAACATTGACCAAAAATCCAATGAAAACCGGGAATCCAGGGTTCTGCGCAGGCGCAGTACGTTCTGCCGACATGCTATGCATACACAATGTTGAGAACTTTACTCACATCCATGTTGAACTGTTGCTGATGGTGTTGAGGCATGTGCTGTGGAGACTGGTGGGGGGAGGGGGTATGTTGGGGGAGGGGAGTGCCGTTGAGGCGGGGGTCCGGGGGGCTGCTGCGCACTCTGTTGTTGGAAGAGCTGGAACTGTCGCAACTGTGCCTGGGGGTCCACAGTCAGGTTACCTGCTGTGTCTACTGTTAACGTC